GGTACATGCCCTTGACCAGAATCGAACCTGGGACCCTTGAGTCCGCAGGCCAATGCTCTAGCCACTGAGCCAAACCGGTTAAGGCGAGGTTCTTAATTCTTAATTTTTTTGGGGGGTGGGGTTGTTGACAGATGCCTACCCACCAAGGGTGCGATCCAGTTACTTTGTCTGTGACCAGAGTTTGGCGGGCCTTGCAGCCGGAGCTGGATTTGTCCGGAGCTAGTTTTCTGAGCGCCTTGGCTATTACACCGGAGTCCATTTCTTAGGTTGGGCTTCAGAACCTAATGAGGCGTTGCTGTAGCTCACTGTCTTCTCACGAAGTCTGCAGGCCTGTTCAGGTTGATTGCTCGGTGGGATTTTGCCTTTTGGGTGCCCTTATGAAACTATGTATGCCCTTTACAACTCAAAAATCGTTTGAATTTGACAGTATCCTAAGATATTCAGTAGAAAATATCTTATTTAAGAGAGACTTTTAAACCTGATGAGATCTTACATTCTTTCACATTAAAAATTTTTAATTGATTCTTTCTTTACTTTTTTTTTTTGAGAGAGAGGAAGGGAGAGGGAGAGAAACATTGATGTGAGAGCATAACATCTATCAGCTGCCCCCCGCACAATCCCCAGATCGAGCCCACAACTGGGCATGTATGTGTCCTGACTGGGAATCGAACCAGCAACCTTCCAGTCACAGGACAACACCCAGCCAACTGAACCACACAGCCTGGAGCCAGTCTGTCACATGTTTAGGACGATACAACCTTTACAGATGCTGAAAGCGATACCTTTGTGAGTTGGGGCTCTCTCGGATGGCTTTCCCTGGTGCCTCCCGGCCCTGCCATTCTCTGTGGCCGAGGACGGTGTTCGGCTGATGGAGCAGAGACCTCGCTGCCTGCTGCCATCCGTGCCGCCTGCAGTCACTTGCTCATGGCAGGGCTCTGCACCCCCCTTCTTTGAGGAACCCCTTTGTCGAGGGCCGCCCAGGGCTTCCTTCGCTTTGATCTTTGGGAGCCAGCCTTTTCTTTCTCTGCCCTGGTGTTCCCATCTCCGAGTGCAAACTGGAAGGGTCCTGTTTGCTTTCCGGCCCCGGAAGGCAGACACCCCGGCCCCGGAGGAGATGGGTGGCGGCGGCTCTGCTTTGGTCAGAGCACCGGCCGCTGCTGTGGCGTTGGCATGGTCGGTGGCTCCTGGACCCCGTTCCTAGAAAAAGGAGAGAGAGGAAGGGAGGGAAATGGCTGGCGGAGAGGAAATGGCTGGCGGAGGTGGGAAACCTGATCAGGGACGTGTGGACATTGTTCTCTGCGGCTTCCTGCCCACCCCCTGGCTTTGTTTATCTCCTGCTTCTCTGTTCCGGGTGTGGAGTTAATGATCGGCTCCTTTTACACTGAGTGCTGCCTCCGGGAGGGGCTCCACCCGCTCGCTCCCGCGGCCGCTAGATCAGCGATGGGCCGGTGTCCGGTGTCCCCGGCGAGCACCCCTGCTCTAGATTGCTCGCCATAGCGCGCGGGACAGAGATGGTTTCAGCTCCGTGCAGGAGGTGGCACTGTCCTTTTCATGCTTCCCTCACCCTCGTCTGAAAAGGCAGCTCCTGCCTCGTGGGAGTGGCCCTGCGCAGCCCCCTGCGCTCACACCCTTCCTCCGTTCTCGATGCTGGACCTCGGCTCGGCCTTTGTCAGAATTGGGAGCGTCACTCTCATTTGATCAAAGATGTCTTCTTTGCGATGCAGAGTCTGACCGCACCGCTGGTCAGCCCGACCCTCCGGGTGAACCCCAGTCACCCTGGGGGTGCGTCTGGGCGGGGGTGGGGGAGCAGTGACAAGGTCCCGGGGAGGCGGCAAGTGGAGCTAAAAGGAAATTCAGAGGCTTGTCTTCCTCTACAAATTCCAGACCATTAATGGGTTTCAACCTTTTAACCTTAAAGACCTGCATGTATTATTTTTCCCTCGAAGACAGTGTTTATCACCCATAATTTACAATTATTGTTTCCCTTAGGAGATTCAGTTCAATTTGAATTCTCTCTGAGAGAGAAATGAAATACTAAAAACTCAGATTTTGTGGGGCAGGATTGAGCCTTGGGAGGCCCAGACCATTGCGGTAGGTACCATGTCCCCCCGACCCCATCCCCCCAACCAGTTTTTGCCCACTTGGGGGTGGTGTGGTCCCTGCTGAGCATACCTGCTCTGAGGGCTCCACGTTTTGGAATAACAGCGCCCCCTAGGGGCCAGGTGCCTTATGTGTCACCCCATTCAGCGCTCCCAATAGTCTTCCCAAGTAGGTTCTCTTGCTGTCATCAACACCTTACAGACAGGAAACCACAGCACAGAGAAATGGAGTGACTTACTTGGGTCACACAGCTGTTAGCCAAAGGAGCCAGGATTCAGCTTTGGGAAATCAGACCCTGGAGTCCTCTCACTCCCTAGGCCAGCAGTTCCCAACCTGTGGGTCGCGACCCCTTTGGAGGTCGAACGACCCTTTCACAGGGGTTGCCTAAGACCATCGGAAAACACATACATAATTACATATTGTTTTTGTGATTAATCACTATGCTTTAATTATGATCAATTTGTAACAATGAAATTGGGGGTCACCACAACATGAGGAACTGTATTAATGGGTCGCGGCGTTAGGAAGGTTGAGAGCCACTGCAAGGGAAAAGAGGCCGGTGCCCCCGGTCAAATAGTCAGGTACTGCATGTTTTAAAAATTCTCGCGGCACACCGGTTGAAAATCACTGACTTAGCATAATGTGTTCGAGATTCATCTGTGTTACACCATGTATCGCTGCTTCATTCCTTTCACGGCAGAATCCATTGTACGGGTATATACATTTTCTTTCTCCACTCATCAGTTGGACGTTTGGGTTGTTTCCACTCTTCGGCTATTATGAATAATTCTGCTGTGAATATTTGTGCACAGTTTTGAGTGTGGACATATGTTTTCAGTTCTCTTAGGAATATGCCTAGGAGTGGACTTGCTGGGCCACTGGTAACTCTGTGTTTAACTTTCTGAGGAATTGTCAAATTCTTTTCTGGAGACTTGAACCATTTTACATTTCTACCAGCAATGTACTAGGGTTCGGGTTGCTCAACCGCCTCTACAACACTTGTCATTGCCCATCTTTGATGCTAGCCATCGAGTAGCGGTGAAGTATTTCATGGTGGTTTTGATTTGTGTTTCCCTAATGACCGATGGTGTTGAGCATCTTTTCAAGTACTTATTGACACTTGTATATTTTTTTTTGAGAAATGTGTTTCAGATCCTTTGCCCATTTTGAAATTGAATATCTGTCTTTTTATTGGTGAGTTACAGGAGTGCTTCATATATTGTGGATACAAGTCTCTTATCCGATATATGATTTATAAATATTTCCTCTCGCTTTGTTGATTGCCTTTTCATTTTCTTGAAAGTTTCTCCTGAAGCACAGGAAATTTGGCTGTTTCTTTCTTTTGCTGCTTGTACTTTTGGAGTCCCAGCTGAGAAACCATTGCCTGATCCACGGTCATGACATTTTGTGCCTATGTTTTCTTCTATGAGTTTGGTGGTTTTAGCTCTCATTGACGATTTGATCCAGCTGGAGTGAATTGTACATGGAGTGAGGGGGTCCATTTCATTCTGCCTGTGGAGATCCACTCGCACCAGCATGCTTGTCACTCTATCCCTGTTGACTTGTCTTGGCCGCCTCGTCCAGATGCTTGTCTACACATGTGTATGTTTATTTCTATCCTCTCAGTTCTATTCCATTGATCTATTTGTCCATTGGACCTTGACTTTTGCGCCCAGGTTCCCCGGAGGAGCAAGTACCCTCAGGGCAGAAGTGGCTTGGCTTCTGGGAATTTCCCTTTGCTCTGTAGGTCCCGGATTTACCCCTGCATTTGGCCTGGCAGTTCTTCATTACGTCGTCATTCATCAGTGCTTTTAAGATGCTGTTTTAATTACTTTATGCAGCATTTTTCATTGTTTACAGCAAGAGTTCTAAAAATCTAGCCTACCAATAAAAAATGGAATTCAAAATTATATATCTCTGACTTTGAGATTTGGGGCAGTATGTTTCAGAGAAGATTAATTTTGGGAAATAGGGAAGCTATTCATGGCATCTTAAAAAATGATCATTGTTTACTGTTGCTTTTAAAGTCAGAATGTCTAATAGCTGGTGATTAATTGCATTCATTGGGCACTTTTTTTTTTGTCCCAAGTTTTCTGCTCGGGGCAGTATATATTTTTAATGTGTTAACACAACAAGCCTATAAGACCGTGGGTATTGGTACTACCATTTCTCCCTGTTTTACGAGTGAGGGAACAGACCTGCGAGGTTCTGATGCCTGAGGACACCCAGCCATGATTAGCCGAGTTTGACCCAGACCCACGTCCTCGGACTCCAGAGCCTGGCCCTGGACCCCAGGGCTCCCCTTCTCCATGTCCCAGTTAGAGATGCTTCTATAACAACTGGAAGGCTTAAGGCACTGAGTGTTTGTCTGCTGTCGAACCCCCTCCTCCCCTCCCCGCCCCTCTCCCTCCCTCACTCCCTCCCCCTCCTGGTGAAAATGGGAACCGGGACGGGCAGGAGCTCTGTGGAGAGGCCTGGCGTTGTCCTCACTGCTCAGGAACCAGTGGGGAGGCAGGTCTAAATCTGATTCCCGGGCTGCAGCTCCGGAGTCTGAAGCAGCAGCCGGGGTCCCGCTCAGGGCCCTGACGCTGTCCTGCGCTCCGGGGAGCGTCCTTGTAGTGGGCTGTGAGCCCCGCTTTGAGGAAGGCTGGTCTGCGGGTTACATGATGAGTCACTGCATAGTGTGGACTTGTTTACTCCGATTTCTGTTACTAAAGGGCAGGTCGATGTTTTCCCAGGGCCTGGGGGGTGGCTCTTTCCCCCTTTAGTGCCTAGAAAAGCAATTGGGATGTGCATTAGCTTGAAAGGAGAGGGTTGTAGTTAGAGCTTTGTAAGCCCTGCGTTGGGCAGAAATGAGAGGGTCCCAGCAGCACACCTTTGATGTAATAGTGCCGCGGGGGGCGGGGAGGGGGCGCTGAAGGGGAAAATGAAGCACCTTCTTAGTTTTAGAAGAGACACCCCAACCTCTCTTTTTCTTCCTCCCATTTTCCCCTCAGATTGTGAGGTGGTCAGACTGTTGTTTGCCGTTAGCTTGCAGACCTGGGGACCCTTACCAGTTAATCGCCAAAGCGAGCGTGGATGACTTCAGCAAGCTGGGGGTGGCGTTCATGGAAGACAGACTCCAGATGGCTAACGGGTTGATACCCCAAAAGATTGTTTGTAAGTAACTTTAAACATTTTTAATTTTAATATATATATAGTTAATACATTTTTATCGATTTCAGAGAGGGAGAGAGTGATAGAAACATCAATGATGAGAGATAATCATTGATCGACTGCCTCCTGCATGTCCCACACTAGGGATCGAGCTTGCAACCCAGGCATGTGCCCTTGACAGGAATCGAACCCAGGATCCTTCAGTCCATAGGCCAACACTCTAGCCACTGAGCCAAACAGCTAAGGCTAATCCTATATAATAAAAGGCTAATATGCAAATTGACTAAATGGCAGAACGACTGGTTGCTATGATGTGCACTGACCACGAGGGGGCAGACGCTCAATGCAGGAGCTGCCCCCTGGTGGTCATTGTGCTCCCACAGGGGGAGCGCCGCTCAGCCAGAAGTGGGGGAGCCTCTCCCACCTCCATAGCAGCCCTAAGGACCCCTTGGCGGACATCCCCAAAGGGTCCTGGACTGCGAGAGGGCGCAGTCTGGGCTGAGGGACCCCATGCCCAGTGCACAAATGTTGTGCACCAGGTCTCTCTCTATATATTCTGATTTCAGAGAGGAAGGGAGAGGGAGAGAAAGATAGAGATATCTATGATAAGAGAATCATTGACTGCCTCCTGATGGAGCCCACAACCAGGGCATGTGACCTGCCCGGGAATCAAACCATGATCTCCTAGTTCATAGGTCAATGCTCAACCACTGAGCCATTCCCGCTGGGCTGTCTGTAAGTAACTTTATATGTTTTCATTATAGCAGACATCATAGGTGATTAGCTTGCATACTGTTGAATACTCCTATTTAGTATGACTTACTAGTAAGTGAATGCTTATTCTCAGTTTAGTTAACTCAACAGGTTAGATTTCCATAATAGTATAAAGTTCATGTATGTGCCAGGTTTTTTGAGGAGCTTGCCCCTGAGAATATCATGAGAGCTTTTAAAATCCTTAAACAAGGAAATCCCATAATCGCACTGTGTGAGCTAGCATGGAAATTCAGAACCCGTGGAATAGTTACTAGTATTTTTCCCAACCTCCTACAGACTAACTAGTTTCTAGATTGTAGTGTGATTGAATGGAAAGCATAGGCAGTGTTACTATGAAGTTCTAAATCTTAGTTTTTTATCTGAAATATATACTACACATACCACAATATTTTGGGACACAATTTTTAATTTTTTTAAGAAACGTGCACAATGGTCTTCCTTAATTAGGCCTCAAAGCTGGCTTTCAGGGTCCAGGAAGGTCTTCGTTGGTGTCTTGAGCAAATGACTGTTCCTTACCAGCTCGGAAGTTTGTGTAAATCACTTACTTTTCCCATTTGCCACCTGCATGTGCCGAATCCCATGCCAGGTGCAGAGCAGGTGCTCAGTAAATGGATTTTGAATCAGTGATTGTAAATGATACTCCAGTCCTGAGAGCAGACACTGGAAAGACCCTTCTTCCGGCCCAGCTGAGGGGGCGCCCTGGGAGTGGCTTTCCTGGGGGTGTGCTTGGAAAGACCCAGAGGAATGCCTTTCTGTTTTGCCGTCTCATTATCATATCGGAGAGGGACACCCAAGAAACTGAATCTAGAAATAAGTGGGCAAAGTGACCTCTCGGAATCTCACTTTCTTCACTCGTCAGCGAGGGAATCCGAGATTTCCCGATTCAAAGGTGTTGTGAGACCATCAGGGGCCCCCTCCTGTCAGGCGGGAGCACTTAACCTGGTTCCAAAGGCTGCCGCAGGGTTAGGTGGGGAGGCAGTGGGCGCCCAGGAACCCGAGGCAGGGAACGCAGGGAGCGCCGTGGGGTTTTGAACGGAGCCGCAGGACAAACCAGAGAAGTGACTGAGTGTCTTTTCTGCTCCTGTGCCAGCGGTGCACCTGCAGGACTCCACTCTGCAGGAGCTGAAGGACCAGGCCGCGACCAAGCCATCCCGCAGCCCGCAGCCGAGCCCCGGACCTGCTGTCCAGGGCGAGCCTGAGCCGGGCGTCATGGAGCACGTCGGCAAAGATGACCCGGCGGTCCTCGGTGCAGAACCCACCCCAGGGCGAGGCGGCGCCCCCGGGAACGAGGCCGCTGGCGAGAGCGACAGAGGAGAGGCCTGCACCGAGCTCTGCGGCCTCCACCTGTCCAGCTGCCACGAGTGTTTGGAGCTGGAGAACAGCACCATCGAGTCCATCAGGTTTGCATCTGCAGAAGACATTCCCGATCTTCCCTACGACGCCAGCGGCGGCGGGGAGGGTGCGGCTGAGGCCACCTGCCCCGAGAGAGAAGGGAGGAGAGCCAACCTCACGGGGAAGGCGCCCAACATCCTCTTCTACGTGGGCTCTGACTCCCAGGAGGCCCTGGACCGGCTGCAGCAGGTCCGGGCCGTTCTGGCTGACTGCGTGGACCCCGACAGCTACACGCTCTACCACCTGCCGGAGGAGCGCGCGCTCCGAGACCCGTGGCCAGACAACTGTCTGCTGTTGGTCGTCGCCACCAGGGAGCCTATTCCCGCAGACGTGCAGCAGAGGTTCCTGGCCTACCTCTCCCAGGGCGGGAAGGTGCTGGGCCTGTCTTCGTCCTTCACGTTGGCCGGCTGCCGGCTGACCGGCAAGGACGCGCTGCAGGAGACGGTCCAGAGCCTGGTCTTCTCCAAGGCCGACCAGAGCCAGGTGACGCTCAGCGTCCTGAGCAGCGGCTGCGTCTATGAGCAGGAACCCGGGGAGCCGCTCCGCCCGGGCCAGCTCCAGGGCCGCCTGGAGAACGCGGACCAGGACAGGCTGATTGTGCAAGTGCCTTTTGGAGCGCGCGGAGGAGAGGCCGTGCTTTGCCAGGTAGGCGGCGGGCGCCCTGTGGTGATCTCTGGGTACGTCTGACGGGCAACGCGCCCGCACAGCTGTGCTTTGCCGGGTCTCAGAGCCTGCACCGGGGGCACTTTAGACCTGCGGCTGGGAGTTTCTGCTGATGGGAGTAGATGGGTTAGATCAGGGCTTTCCTGTCACGTGAATATCTCGTCTAACCGGAATACTCATGATGGAGGAACGTTATTTATTTCAGAGAGAGAGAGAGAGAGAAAGAGAGAGAGAGAGAGAGACAGAGAGAGAGAGAGAGAAACATCAGTGATGAGAGAGAGTCATGGATCGACTGC